AACCTTGTAAAGTTATACGTTTCCTGTAATGGTGAGTCCTACTCTGTATCCCTACTTCAATTCGCTTAACATTCCGTAAAGTCTGTTGGTATAGGACTCTTGTGAAGATTGAGGACGGAGGATCGCGTGCATTTTCGACTCCTGATGCTCTTCTCTTAACGCAAGAGCAAGAACGCGGCTTGAGCCGCGAGAACATTTGTGACGCTCGAGAAGACAATGCTCTAAGGGAACGTTAAGTGCGTGAGTGTTTTGCGGAATGCATATACAGGGTGTATTCACTCTGAAGATCGGCAACGCTCAATAAGGCCTCTATCAATTGAAAACGACCAAGTCAAAATGTTAATCGAAACGAATCGGCAGATCACCACTCTGAAGTAGGAGAAAGTTTTGATGTTCGAAATCAATCATCCATGACCACTTGCTAGAACTTGATTTTGTTAAGCGCATTGATGTTTGGGTACCTTACGAGCTCAGCGAGCGCAATGTGACGGACCGGGCCCGCGTGTGCGATTCGCTGCTCGAACGAAACAAAAATGAGCTGTTTCTAAAGCGTATAGAAACGGGGACGAAAAGTGGGTGGGATACAATAAAGTGGAGCGGAAACGATCAAGGAGCCTTCCCAGAGAGACGTTACAAAACACTCCAAAAGTCACGATCCAGGTGCGGAAGGTTATGCTGTGTTGCTGATGGGATTGAAAGGGAATCATTTATCATGAGCTGTTGCCGCATCATCAAACGATAAATTATGAAAGGTACTGTACTCATAAGACAATTTGAAGGCAGCGATAGGCCAGATGTAACGCGCCGAAACTGGCCAATCGTAAGGTCGTTGTCTTCCAACAGGATAACTCCAGGCCACACGTTTTTCTAGCCATTCGTCCCAAATTGCTGGAGCTTGGGTGGGATGTCTTAGCACAACCCCCTAACACATGGCACCATGAGGCTACCTTTTGTTCAAGTTTCTCCAGAATCCTTTGAATGGAAAATCGTTCAATCCGCTGAAGGACTGCAAAAGCAGCTGTGAGGGCGTTTTCGATTCATGCTTGTGGTGACAACCTTTTCACCCGAAACATGCATATCTTCCAATTTTTTGCATATTTGTACATGCTATATTCATACTAGGATGACCCTTATCACTTCACGTACATATGTGGTGCACGGAATGATAGAGAAGAAAAGCCTTTTCTCACAGTTACAACAACTAATAAAAAAGATTTTGTTACATTGCGCGATTTTACAATTACTTACCAAATCAGACGGAAAACAGGATTGTGTAGGCGTCTCAAAATGACCATGGCAGGTGCTTTAGCAGTCGGCGACGTGCCATGATTGAGAAAGAAAGTCCCTTAATCTATCAGAACAGAATCGGAAGCAGGCAGGTAGTAGCTAAGTAAGCCAAGTCACGAGTGTATAAGCAACGGTTGAGATCAGGAGCTATTAAGTATGATGTAATGATCATATTTCTGATCGGCAACAAGAAATGAACTTGACTGGCTGTACTAGCCCCTGGTTCGAACAGGGATATTCCATATTTTCCCTTGCTTTTGTGGAGGTGAAACGGACTAAACAGCCCTATGATCTTTTAGTAATGTACACGATCCAATATCAACAAGGTCTGTCTTGGAGGGTTGGCAGTCGCCACGCACGATCGTATCCACTCCTAAATCACGAAGGACTTATGATTCAGGGTATTCGATGAAAACTCAAGGCATAATGGTGAAGGAGTGAAGGTGGCACAGAGCAATCGCATTACCTCATCTACTTCTTTCGAATCTCTTGGGGCCAGAGATTGCGAAGAGTGTGCATATCGCTGAGAAATTCATCGTAAATATAAGGGATTGAGAGGATCAAGACACTGGCGTTGTGTCCAAGCGCGACTGTCTATGAATACGGCGTTGGTTCAACCTTTAAGATGCGCCCCGTATTCGACTTTCATCCATAGTGGCGTTTGGAACGTGTACACGGCTTATGCAATGGTCCGCGGTGACAAGCTCAAGTACAAATCAGAGCTCACCCATCCATACGACTCTGGTACTAATTAGCAGACCATGGAGGAATGAAAGGCCTTGAAAGGCATGAACGGGAGACGTGCAAATGAATCGGTTTTGCGTAATCGATTTGCCGCGGCCGCACTAATTGCCTTGTGAATGCTCAGTTCTAGAGCTCTTCACACAGCTCGGTCGATATGCGATTATTTTTGGTATGATTTCACTGTAACTTCTTTTGTTCCTGCATTCCTTACTTGCTGCGCTTCTTCTGCTTCCCTGTTCTGTATTCCTTTGTGCGCGACATCGCTCTCCCCGCAAAGCGATCATTCCGATTCAACTGCAACACACCCGCCTGAACGATAATGGATGCAGGGTTCGATTTCTGGAACATCCGCGTAAGCTTGTGAGCGACCTGCCCTCATCCGCATTCGCCCCAGTGTGACTATGCAGATACGAGAACAGCATCCGAAAAGACGTTTAGAAGCGTGGATCTCACTCCAAACGGCCACTTCGACTTGGGATCCTTCAACCTACTTGGAAGGTTCAGAACCTCGAATGAAAGTGAGATGATGGAACTTACAGAGAAATGGCTAATCATTACAGAAGGAATGGTGGATATAATGTTTGATGAATGATTTTGTTCTTCCCGAAATTTTCCCTAAAAGTATGACTCGAAAGGCGGCAGAAACTTTTCGGACAGTCCAATATAACGCGCTATTGGGAAATGAATGAAGTCTGCTTGTATTATAGAATAAACAAAGTGAAAATAGAATAAGGTGTATCGAATTCACTTAGTGAGAAGAAAACATAGAATTCAGAAAATGAAGTAAGATGGTGAGTTGAAGAAGAACACACTTTACAAAGCTGTAGAACCGCTGCACTACCAATGTTGTATTCAAACGACCACGCGCAGGGAGTTAATTCGAACCTAATACCCCTACACTGTTCAAACATGATCACTTCGAATACGCAAGGAGCTCCGCCGTGCGGAGTGGCCTAGTTGGTCGGAGGTATGATCGGTTTTCCCCACAAAATTACGCTTTAATAAAAGACCCTGTGAGTAGTAGAGGGCGTAGAGAAATCCTTAATATTAGGTTGACACATTACTGTTGCAAATTTTTTAAAACAACTTTTACTCCAAAAAATATGAAATTATTTAACAAAGACAAATGTTCAAATAACTACACCGGAACATATCCGCCGTCTACGTTAAGCACTGCCTCCCGTTTGCTAGGTAGTCGCATTCCACAGACGAAGAAGTTTCGATCAATGGGGGCGATCCATGCCTTGACATCGGTTATCAAGTCATCCATTTAGTCGTAGGTTCTGTTCGCCTGCCAATTTTTCACTGAACGGTTGACATGGTAATCCTTAAGAGTTTCTTCCGATGGATATGGCGAGGACAGAGGCAGATCCCATTCCATACTTGGTTTCGGCTGATTGTTCCATCGGCGAAAAGTCGAGATCGCGAAATGACACTGCCACCACTCAACCTTCCTCGAAGTAGTAGAGCATAATGTTGCCAATATGGAGACAATTTTCTTGATGCATTCCTGCTGAGAAAAGTGAGAAAATTAATTCTATAAAAATCCCGAATTCAACATCAAACTTGTAGCGATAGTAAAGAAGCCGCGAAAAAATCCGCAATGATTATGCATCAACCCAAAAAGTAGCTTAACAATCAACGGAAACTAGCAAATAACTAATAGTCAGTGTTTGATTATAACCAGAACATGAGGAATCCAGAAAAAAAACTACGCACTTACTCAATCCCAATCTACCGAGCCACTCAACGCATTACATGTCTAGCGTGAGTCTCAGACTTCGAGGGAAATGCTACAATGAAGTTTGTTATGCAATTGGCTACGAACCGGCAAACGCAATGTATTCTCCGCAATGTGATACTTTTGGAAATATTTCATTTATGCCAGAGCGAAAAATATCCCTATTCAACGAATAAAGAAGTGTAATAATCGTGCGCATAAAATCTCGGCACGGACACGTACAAACACGGACGACAACCTCGCAACGGTTCTGTGTTACGTTCACCTACGATTCATGATAAAGGGAGTGGGATGAGAAGCGGGCTGCCTTAAATGGGAAAAGGAAATCTCATAAGATAACGATTCAGCATAAAATTACTCTCTCTCTCTCTCTCTCTATATATATATATATATATATATATATACCTTGCAAGGGTCTACTTGCTGTACGCTGAATAAGCCAACGTTGAAATTTTGAAAATATTAACTAAAAATTGCATATGATATCAGATCGGGCAAAACAAACAAAGTGAATGAAAACTAAATGATCATCAGATAGTAATGGAGTTGCCAAGATCAACAACTGCATCTCACCTTATAAGTACTTATTAAAGCATACGTATGAGGGAATGACGAAAAAAATTATAATCAACAGTCGAAATTGATGAGAGCACGAAGTCATATTGAAATTCGAGGATAGACGGAAAAAGAGAGTTACATAAAAACGGCAATTTATCAGCGGAACAAGTAAGGAACACACGAATAAAAGGAAATAATGATTGGGAGGCATATAACAGACTAGCGCCGCAGTTTGAGATCATTTTGTGGCAAAGCAAAGCAATCGAATTCGAAGAATTATCCCTGAACGGGCACGTCAAGTTCTCCACACACATAAAAATACATTCACTTGAAGTAAAGGAAAACAATGAAAAGGAAAACAATGAGAACGACAATAAACCGGCGTTAGAGTGTGCAGATCACACAAGATGCTCGACTCAATGGAGTTTTAGTCGTCTATAAGGATACGTCACTAAACGTTCGACGAAGAAAACAGACGAACCGACACTGGATATTTACTATTGAAACGTTTAGATGACCCACAGATACATTAGGTACTGCACCAGAGCGTGGGCGGTCATTGCCGCAAACGCGCTGCTCAGGTCACACGGATTCCGTTGCACCTGAGAATACACGTGTAAGGAACGTTATCGGAAGGAACAGAAGTATGTCAGGATCTATCCTGGACAAACTACTCCTTAGTACCATTCAGCTCGTTCTCTCCTTGGCCGTTCACCTCGGATGATTCCTCCTTTTCAGTCTTCAAACGGATCTCTTCTCCGGACGCACCCGTTGCGCCGGGCAAGTTTGCAGATAGAGACGCAGGAACCTAAGGGACAAATAGAAGAAGTGAACATATTTTATATAACTGGAGCAAGAAATTGAGGAACTATCTCACTTCGGCATTGGACGGAGACGGTGGTGTAATTCCTCCATTTTGCGGACTTGCCAACTTTCCCGAGGTTGCATTAGGGCTCGGAGTTGCGTTAAGAGCCGGAGATCCGACGTTTACCACAGGTCCCTGTGAAGTCTGAGCGGCAAGCGTTGAAAGTGCTGCTGCAGGATTTGCAAACTGAGCCAAAGCAGCCGAGTTTGGCGTCATCAGCAACGGATTCAGATTCATACCACCCATGGCCAACAACGGGTTCCCGTACGAGAATGCGCCCATCTGACTCATTTGCGGCAAACCGTTGAAGCCTGAAAATGGCATGTCAATGTCGAAAAAGTATATCAGAAGATAAATGACCCCTAGCTTCTTTGTAGATTTAAGTCTACTTTTTCACGTTTCGGCGACTAGATTTGGAACATACTGCAACTAGAAGATTTCCCCTCCGGATCAGGATGAAAAGCTCTCAAACGTTAAGGTGATTTTGAGATGAAATGGGCAACTCTGCGATCTAATGTTCAAGTTTTAGCGCTACAATTATAACACAGAGGAACAAGTGCTTCGTGTTCACTGGGCTTTCAGCAAAGAAGGATTGTGCTTTGGTAGAGTTTTCCGCACATTCCACACTAATACTCCAAAAGTTCAGGTGAGTGGAACATAATGATTCAATCGGGTTCGAAAGGTTGCCTTGGATTGTAATGCTAATGTGAGTGCAATCTCGGCAATGGTGAATCATATGCACGTATCCTAAACTTATCCCATTGTAAAAGCTGGCACTGATAAAAAAGCTGACTTGCAACCTCACAGAAGCTCTCATAATTGATAGCTCCGAAAAGGTGGATGGTCTTGAGCGGTGGATGGCTGTGAGTTTCCACCATTGGATGGCTAATATTTGAGGTTGGGACTGAACGAAGGAAGTATACATGGGAGGAATTCAGATCCATTCATGCAGAAGCGAGGATAGAGACTTCTACAAACCGCCAGTACGAAGGAAAATGGCCATCCTCAAACAACTTTTCTGTTATCATCTACAACTCTCAATCTCTGAACAATGTTCTACTTTTAGGATATGACAACTTTCGAAAACGTTGAATTTCCATCTTAATACATTTGCTATCATACAATAATGATCAGTTTATACCTACCGAAGTTCTGCATTCCCACAAGTGGATTGTAGCTGCTAGGTCCAGGTTGACTAGCTGCAGCTGCAGCGGCAGCAACCAGGGCCCTTCGAGCACCACCACCACTCGTAAGCAACTGTTCTTTGTTAACACAATTGAGCAAGTCATTGGGAAACCGATTCAAAATTGCTCGTCGTACCTGAAGCGGACAGAGTTGGTCAGGACTACAAAAATATCACCAGTCTGTAAAAGAACACTCCAAATAAGAAAACTACCCCGGTTCAGCAGGGCCAGTTAACCGCGTAGGCCGTGCGTATGAGGTGATAGGTGGCTTCTTGATAGGACCACAATTCAAACCAAATTCCAACTTGCATCCCTCCTGGCACTCAAGAGTCACTCAAACCTTTTTCTGGTTCCTCAATACAATTATTCGATCTCTAATTTGAAGAAATATCACATTGCTACTGCTGAGCAAATTCACATGTATTTGGCACTTGAGCAATTTCTAATAATAAATTCTGTAAAATTTGCAATTTTTAATGAGGTCGCACAACTATCAGAACGACTTCTCATTTCCAGGGTGCCGATCAGCAAATGCGCAGAGAACCATGACTATCCGGATCGACAACCAAAATTATCACCGGTAACAATACATTATCGACGAATACTTTCTATGTACTCCATCAAATATTATAAAGGATTGTGCTAAGCCGTCCATAAGCTTGGTTCAGGCTCTGAAAATGTGCCGTCAAGTTGCCTAATTATGCGATCCCATAAATGAACCAGAGATGAACATTCTTAGGGAAAGGAAGAATTTACAACAGGGCCAGTACATTACCTCCAAACATAAAGATCCTACTAGTATAATTGGCTAAGTGTGTCTGTTGGTGTGTTGGTGTGTGTATGTGTCTCTGACCGGAAATTCGTAACTCCTGTCCCTGTCACTAGAGCATTCAAACTTGGTAGGAGTATAGGCGGCAGGATGGGAACACCTAGGATAGGTGGTAGAACTCGATTCCGCCCACAGAGGGCGGGGTTTGTGCGAAATAATTGTTTGGATGGAATATCATAACTCCTGTCGCTGCAGATCTAGAGCGCTCAGATTTCGTATGAATACTGGCGGCAGCATAGGAACACTTACGATGGGTGGCAGGAACGGATCCCGCCCACATTGGGCGGGTTTGAGCGAAAATCCGTAACTACTGTTCCCTTGCACCTAGAGCGTTCAAATTTGGTAGGAGTATAGCCGTTAGGATGGGAATGCTGATGAAAGGTGACGTGATTTGAGTCCGCCCATAGGACGGAGACCAACCCGAAAATTGGTAACTTATTCCTAAGGCGTTCAAATCTATAAGGTGTGCAGGCGGCAGTTTTAGGACGCCGATGCTAGGTAGTAGAAAGTAAATGAAATTGATCCAGCAGAGGGGGAGGGATGTAGGGGACGGACAATGCGTGAAGTGAGCGTCCTTCAAGTGAAAACAAGTTTGAATATAAGGGTGTTCTTGTATTTGACTGTAATTCGATAGCTCTCGCTTTCCTGACCAGAAATATTAAATCTGGTGGAGTGCAGAGGGCTTTAACACAAGAAGGAGAAGAGCTGGGTGATCCGACTGGTAACGGGAGAAAGGCGCTGCGTTATCTCCTACTGTCGTGCTCATCTTGAAGACAGTTCGAGTGATCTCCTTCAGCTTTCAACTCTCTCTTGTGCCACGACTCCCATTAGGAGTTTCGAAAACATTTCATGATTTAACTACACCCTGAGCTGTCGTAGTGACTCCGAATGGAAGCAGCGGCGTCTAGGCCAAGGCATGCTATCGCAAAACCCGTGACCATAGGGAATTCTAGCAAAAACATTTTACCGCTGTACCAGCAGTAGAATCCTTACTATATATAATCCACAAGTTTGGTGTGTCTGTTTGTATGTATGTATGTATCTATGTATGTTTGTTTGTATGTCACACAATCCGGTTTTACCTGAAAAATCCTTACTATATATAATCCACAAGTTTTGTGTGTCTGTTTGTATGTATGTATGTATCTATGTATGTTTGTTTGTATGTCACACAATCC